TAAAACCATCTGTGATTCCTAAATGAATGGGATTTATCAATCCTGGAGTCTTGCTGTGTTAGAACGGATATTGATAATTTGACACGGCACACTTACAATGAATAAATGTCTAAATGTCAGCTGCTAAGACAAGAGGAGAAGGGGAAAGAATATATGAGTGAAGAATATCCTGTATTAACTCCCATGATTTCTGTTAGACTCACATTGGTACAAGAGAATATTGTCTCCTTAAATTGTTTTGGACAATCTTCATATGAGCTATCTTTTCATATTGAGTTTGGCCCGAGGCCCATCTATGGCAAAATCAACTTTCTTAAAGCTTACATTTAACGTTAGTCCTTGATAGCACTTCTAATTTGAAAATTTTAGTTTGGAACAGATTTGTGATTTGTCAGAGAGTATGTGGCGCGCATGCCAGTGGACTCCATGCTCTGTTTTTGGCCTTATAGCTCTTTTGTTCTTGGGGCGAGCCTCACAACCCCATGCCGAAGAAAGTACCCCTTTCAATAGCCTTCGGCAGAGGTGTAAAATTAATTGAACAGTTAGGAGTATGAGCAAGTCATGATCTCATTAGGCTCTGTCCCAAAGTACAGTCAGTTTTGTACGAGCCCATTTGTCTATAGGTGGTAACTAGTTTTAAGCTAGAAGCAAATCCTTGAATGAAGTGCATAACAAACAAATAAAATCTAACTCCTACATAGTAAGACAAGGATTGGCTTCTAGCTTAAAACTAGAAGAGTCTGTAGCCATGTCTCAGTTTACAAATCATACTTAAAATATGTGTATTTATGAACTGCTTGATATCTGTAGAAGGTATAATAAAGTTCATCTTCGCATTCATGAAGACTTATTGAACTTTTTTTCTGCTTGATAGGAAACTGATGATGATCTGGAAACCAGTTTGGAAGGCTCTCAACAAGATGACTATGAGGGGAACAAGGATGCTGCTAGAGCCTTGATGCGTGTTAAACAAAAGTTAGATGGATATGAAGAAGGTGAAATGAGAAGCGTTCATGGACAGGTAACTGTTAAACTGGAACAATGCATCAATTCACACACTACACTACACACTAATAAACATTTCCTAGGTTTCTATCCTAACTAAAATTATTGATCTGATTATTGATTCCATTCCTGCTAGTCAGTGACATGTCTTATTGCTCTTTGTTTAATTAAAATTTGAGGGCATCGATCACTACCAACTACACAAATAAGTACTCTATACTTGATTAACACTCTTCTCAGAAATTGTGCTTTCGGGGTCAGGCAACTCTAGTTACTTTTGGTTGCTTTCTCTCGTCTGTAAGTATTGGTTTCAGAAATGAATAAACACAATAGTAAGAATGAAAAGAATATGAGACAAGAAAAAGTATATAATTATGGTCCAAACTATCAGCTAGAATGAAGTGCATAACAAACAAATAAAATCCAACTCTTACATAGTAGGACTAACTTGTTGAGTGACTACAACTTATAAAATTACTGCAGTGAAAAAGATTTTCGCAGTTCTAAAACAAATATTCAACAGACCCTTCGGGGTGGCCCAGTGGTTTGGGCTTGGGACTTCCATGTTGGAGGTCTCAAGTTCGAAACCCCTTGCCAGCAAAAGTAAGGGGTTTGTCTTCTGGGTTGAGCTCGTCGCACCGGGCTTGCCTAGTGCGGGTTCCCTCTCCTATGTGGTTTGTGAGCTATTGTATAGGAGCGGGGATTTTACCCTGTGTGCACCTAAAGGGTAGCGGCTGCGGGTTTCCCTTGTCATAAAAAATAAAAAATAAAAAACAAATATTCAACAGTCAGAAGGAAAATTTATCAGCAGATTCTTTCCAATGGCTATGAGTTTAGATCGGACTCCTTTATTTTCACTATTTTTCTGGAAGATAGAAGGTTTGAGTAATGAAACTAAACTTATCCTGAATGCAAGTTAGAGAGATGAAAAGTTAATAAAAATAGCAGTGTCTTGAAATAATATTGAAAGAGTACTAGTCCAGGCAAGTGGAAGTAGAGTTCTATGACTAGCATAGATAAGACTGCTGCAGAATTGGCTGACACGGTACAGTGCTTCTAAGTTGCATAATTTCCCTTCTCAACTTATGTTTGCATAGAGAAAGTAAAGAGGTAATAAGCGCCCCCCTTTTTCACAGGTTCAACAACTCATACACGATGCCATTGATGCTGATCGTTTGTGTCATATGTTTCCTGGATGGGGAGCTTGGCTATGAGAGCTTACAAACAGTAAGAGCTCTCGTTTAAAGTTTTGGGTTTTTTGTTACTTTTTCCTCTTAGCTTTTGTGAGTGTAAATCTTGTGCTTTTGATCTTAGGGTTATTTATTGGTGTAATTAGTGTCACTGTAATGAACAGACTCCTGTAAATATATCATTAACACTGTCATTTCTTCTAATCTTTATGAGTTTCAGCCTTCAAATTCGATTCTTCCCGATGTATGTACAGCTTAATCTTTAATATCTGTATGAAAAGAGAAAAAAAGAGAGAATCAACTCTTTTTACAGCCTGAATCATCAGAACAAATTTATTCCTGTCAATGACCCAATTTTCTTTTCTTCTATTTTTTGCCCTCTATTTGTCCTCCCACAAAATTGCCTTTCAGTAGAGATACCCTGGAATTTTTTTTTATTTTCATTTTCTTCATGTACATTATACATATACAAGTTAAATAACTATTACAGGGGAGATTGGCAAAATATCATGAGATCTTTGTAAGGTAATTTATTTTATATTAAGTATCTGATCATAAGATATAATTTCTCGTGATTATATAATATTCACACCTATCTTCAACATGATATAGTGCATGTCAGATAATAGGCTAGGAATCCTCCTAAAAGAAATTCAATCAACTAGGAATTATGTTTTGTGACAAATATAACAAAAGATTAGAGATTAAATAGTAAAAGTGTTTAGAAATTGAAAGCTATAATAAGTTTATGTATTTTAATACAAAGAGAGCGATAGTTCTGCAGATAAAGGGAATAACATATAGTAGTTAATATATGTATGAAACTCGGGAAAAAGTGCTATATTAGGTGTGTGTTTTACTATCTACTCAAAAAATAATGTACTAAACAATTCGAATTGTGAACAAAATAAATTACAAAAGAACATAACGTGTTGAATGTTAATGTCGACTTCTCCTTCTTAGCAACTTGTTGGCTTTGACTTGGGCTATAAAAATAACTTGGGACTTCACTCCTATAACTTCCAAATTTAGCTTCAAAAAGTATTCCAAAAAACTGCTGAATCAAATGAGTAACAAGGAAAAACTCCTGCAAGATGAAAAATCTTCTTCAAGAAGCAAAAGGAAACTGCGATTGATTATCTGTCTGTTAGCTCTCTTCATTCCCATAATTGTTGCTGTCATTTCTGCTTCTATAATACTTAAAACAACAAACAGAGTCCAACTCACTGTCGTTTTTCCCAAGGAACGCTATTACATCAGTCTGTGATCTCATCAGACTCATGCTTCGACACCATTGCTACACTTCACTTTGCTCAAATCCCGTCTCGAGATAAAATTAACCCATCTCAGATCTTCATCCTTTTGCTTTATGCTTCACGAATCGAGCTTGAGAATGTCGCTACTTCAATTGAAAAAGCAATCTCAGAGGTAGACATGATTAACCCCGAGACTGTTGGGGTATTGAGGAATTGCCAAGGAATGATTGAATTCTCTCTGAAGAAACTCAATGAATCGGAAGTGAGTTTGGGTATCGATCCAGATGAGAAAATATTGGCGATTAATAAAGTTGTTTGGGATTTGCAGCTGTTGATTGGTGAGGCCATGGGTCAAGTACAGAGACGTTATGATTTGTTGGAGAAGATTCCGTCGACGACGATTAGGGCTGAAATAAGAAGGAAAAGCTATGAAGCTCTACAAAATATGAAGAATAGCAGAGGAATATTGCAAAATATGGATGAGATTTTGGACCTGTTTTATCCCAGAATAGGAACAGCATTAGTCTCTTTTGCTTGGGAATATGACTATGGGCGAACTGTTTGGCTATTTTGCTTTGAGTATTTGCTCTTGATTTTTCTTTTTTGCCTGTTGCTACGTATATATTGATTTCCATTTTGTTATGTATTTTGGGTTGCCATTTCCCTTTCCCATTTTAGACTTTTAGTGCAAATGAGAGTGTGTTCTTCAATTGAAAAGGAACAAAATACAACTTGTTCAGTTCTTGTGTAAAAATATGCAAACAGCACATGACTAGATTACTATAGTAAACAAAGTATTGTGAAAAATATTAGTATCATGGGTGGAGTTACAGTAGTGTCGGAAAATTATGTAGGTCAAATCTTACTTTATATTAGATATATATACTATTATTTTGGACACCCTCAAAACCAATAGAGACTCGTAGCGCAGTGGCAAGGCATTGCACAAAACTTAGTGCCCAAATTTGAATCTGTGTCTACATTTATTTATTTATTAATGCTTAAAATCTATAATATAATGCAAGTAGCCCGGTGGCAATTAGGTGCAGAGTATGCGAGATTGAATCCCTATAGGATTACTTCTTTTTTTTGAATTGTTTGGATATCTTTCATGAAATTTCTGGCTTCGCCACTGCATGGTAAACAATGTGGATCCACCTCAAAGATACTTGGCTCTCAAAGAGTGAAGAGTCAACTAATCAACAATGTGATAAAGTAGTTCATGCTCCACTTGTTAGAAAAACTTGTGATGATGGAAGAATTGACCTAGTCTTGGGCACTCACAATTAGCACCATCTCTTTCCCCTTCATACAAGTTCAATGATTATTATAAGGGAGATGGGAAAAATATATCGCATAACTTCTCGTAATTATAAGTATATGTTACATACATGTTTACACCTATCTACGATAACGATTCTGAGTATCAAAAAATTGATTAATTAAAGAATAAAAAATTGATGTTTCCTCTTTCTTAGCATCTTCTTGGCTTTGAGTTTTGACCTTAGCAACAAACTTTGAATTTAGCTTCAAATTTTTTCCAAAACTGTGGGAAAAAGTGAGCAGATGGATGAATCAATTAGCACAAAGTACAAAGAAAGCCTTCTGCAAGATGAAAACTCCTCTTCAAGAACCAAAAGGAAACTACGATTGATAATCTGTCTGGTAACTCTCTTCAGTCTCATAGTTGCTGCAATTATCTCTGCTTCAATAATACTTAAACAAGAAACAGAGTCCAAATCACTGTCGTTTAACCCAACAGACGCTATTCGAAACGTCTGTGATGTCATCAGTGATGATCCAGACTCATGTTTTGACTCCATTGCTGCACTTTCAGATGCGGTAATCCCCTCCTTATTATGGTCGAAAAACAGAGATAAAATTAACCTATCTCGGATCTTCATCCTTTCGCTTTACGCTTCACGGATCGAGCTTGAGAATGTCGCTTCTTCAATTGAAAAAGCAATTTCAGAGGAACATATGATTGACACCAAGAGTGTTGGGGTATTGAGAAATTGCCAAGGAATGGTCAAATTCTCTCTTAAGCAACTCAATGAATCGGAAATGAGTTTGGGTATCGATCCAGATGAGAAAATACTGGGGATTAATAAACTTGTTTGGGATTTACAGCGGTGGATTGGCGAGGCCATGGGTCAAGTACAGAGGTGCATTGATTTGTTGGATGATATTCCGTCAACAGTTAAAGCAGAAATAAAAGAGAAAAGCTACGCAGCCCAGCAAAACATGAAGAATAGCATAGGCTTATTGCAAAAAATCAACGACATTTTCGACCTGTTTTACCCGAAAATTGGATCAGCATTAGGCTCTTTGTTTTGGGAATTTGAATATGGGCTAAATGTTTGGCTCTTTTGCTCTGGGTATTTGCTCTTGATTTTTCTTTTTTGCCGCTTGTTACGTGTATATTGATTTATCTTCATTTAGTTGTGTATTTTGTTGTTACAAAACTCGCCATTTTCCCTTCCCATTTTGGTTGGGCAATTAGCAATCTTGTGTAAAAATATGTTCACAACTAGACTACTATAGTAAGCAAGTATTCTGAAAAATGTTGTCATGGTAAACAATGTCCAGGAGTGGATAGTAGCGAGGGGTTTACCCGAACTTTTTCAATTAAAAATTACAAAGAAAATGACATAAGTCCCTTAACTATAGAATTAGGTCCAAAATGGTCCTTTAACTATACACTTGATGGATTTAGTCCTTTAACTATTCAAAAACTTCTCAGTTTTGGTCTCTTAACTATACACTTATCGGTTTTAGTCCTTTAACTATAAACTTGCCGATTTTAGTCCTTTAAGTATTCAAAAACTTATCAGGTTTGGTCTTTGTCCATTTTTCAATACAAATAGCTTAGGCGTATATTAACGGAATTCATGTCTCGAGAAATTAAATCCTTTAGCAATTTTTTCTATTGTTTCTCTCTCTCCGTTACTTTTTCTTCAAATTAACCTTATGCGAAGAATGTTAACCTCAACAATTTAAAATAAAATTCACGAAGAAAGAAAATATAAGTCATAATTTTATTCAACAGAGGATAAAATGAAGCATATTTATTGCTACTACTTACTTGAATATGCTAAACTTTATTATAAAAAGAAAAAAATATTACCCGTTAAATCCAAAGTTTGTACTCCAACGATTTCATTGAAAGGAATTTGTTTATTTTTCAGAAATTGAAATTTATAAAATAGTAGATTTGCAATTTTTAAAATTTTTTTAAATATCTTGATTTTATTATTCTATTTATTTTATTTTACGTAAAGAAAATTGAGTAAATTAAATAAAATCCACACTGATTAGCATATTCAAGTCATTAACAACAATTATATGCTTAATTTTATCCTCCATTGAATAAAATTAGGACTTATATCTTCGTTCCTCGTTAATTTTTTATTTTGAATCGTTGACATTATTGTTCTTTTCATAAGAGTAGTTTGAAGAAAAAAGGGCGGGGATAGAGAAACAACTTAAGATATTTGTATTAAAAAATGGACAAAGATCAAACCTGATAAGTTTTTGAATACTTAAAGTACTAAAATTGGTAAATTTATAGTTAAGGAACAAAAACCGGTAAGTGTATAGTTAAGAGACCAAAACTGATAAGTTTTTGAATAGTTAAAGGACTAAATCCGTTAAATATATAGTTAAGGGACCATTTTAGACCTACTTCTATAGTTAAAGGACTATTTATGTCATTTTTTCAAAAATTACACAATATATATAAGATATTTTAAAAATATTTTGTGTGTATATAGAGAGATTTCGAACCTCTTAGTGATTGAGAGGCTCAAGATTCACTTTTGAAATTTTAAATTCAAATTTCAAGCATTATATTTTTATTTTTCGAACCTTCGGAACATCCTGCCGGACAAAGAGTCAACTAATAATCAGTAATCAGTAATTGGCTCTCAAAGAGTCCGTCAACTATGTAGTGTCTGCTTGACTTTTGTGGAAAAACTTGATATGATGGAAGAATTGACCCAGTCTTCAGCCTCTCACAATTTAGCATTATCTTTTTCCCCTTCACACAATATTTTCATCTAACCAGAAACAATCCATTTCCATTCCAATTCTGCCATGGATTCAGATTCTGTTAACAAAATCTCAAAGGCATCAGTTAGCCTTAATTTGAATGATCAAAGTAACTCAAAAAGAAGAAAGCAGCCCAAGTGGTTCATTACTTTAATCATCTTTTTCATTCTCATCATCGTCGCCATCATCTCTGTTTTAACGATGATTAAGCGAGATTACGAATCTGAATTACCTGCCAATAACCCAGAAAAGGCAATCAAATCCATTTGCTCGCCGACTCCGTACTACCAGACATGCTTTAACTACATGTCTAATTCCCTCTACAAAAATAAAAAATTAGGATCAACAAAAATCAACTCATATCAAATATTCTCCATCTCACTTCATACCGTAATCGACGAGCTCCAGAAAGTCAGTTACTCACTCAAATCGTCCGATTCCTCTACTGATCAGTCAACTGTAAGTCACTGCAACTATCTGTATTTCAACAAATCACTGAGTCAATTGAACAGTTATTTGGCGATCGATGAAGAGAAAAACATGACTATGAGATCTGAAATGCTTGACTGGCTCCAAACTGAAAGGCCCAAAATTGCGAGATGTCTGTATTCGTTGAAGTTAGACAAGGGATTGGACACAGAAAACGCGAACAATTGCTTGATGATTCTGGTGAATATGAACAGCATCTCTGAGATGCTTAATCCATCCATTAACTTTTTCACTTCAGATCCATTTCGAAGCTCGGGGAGAAGTACCGTCGCTTTACTTTTCTCGGATCGAGAATTCGTGGATACAGTGTGTATTTTTGGCGTGCAGTTTATTTTCTTGCTGTTTTTGGTTTGTATTCTTTTACGTGTTTGGTGATAAATAAGCTGATTATTCAAATTATAATTTTATCTCTCTATATATATTATCCAAATTGTTTTTTGGTCTGTCGGCAAATTAAATTAAATACTCGTAAAATGAAAAAAAAAAGAAAAAGAAAAAAAAAAGTAGAACGTGCTAACAGTTAACATTACCCAAATTCTTATCAACTCTTCAAACCGTGTCGCGTCTTCGCCTTACAGCTTTTCCAGAAAAGCTCTCAAATCCGAATTGCATTTCTATGGAATCAATCAACTTAGTAAAAGGCTATGGCAAAGTTAACCCTTCTGAAGATCCATCTTCTTTCCCCAATCCCAGAGCCGCCCATAAGCGCCGTCTCACCATCGCCCTCTCTCTCACCCTCTTCCTAACTTTACTCATCTGCGTATTCGTCGGCGCGTTTATCCACGCGTCTAATTCCGACGACCACACACCATCTCCTTCATCCAATTCAGCCGATTCGCTCAAAATCGTCTGCGCAGTGACTCAGCATCCAGGGTCATGCTTTGACTCCATATCTTCCCTCAACAGCACCTCACCAAAACCCGACCCGGAACAATTCCTGAATCTCTCTCTTCAGGCGACGGTGAGAGAGTTAACAAACATCTCTTCGTTGCCAAAGACGCTGATATCGAAGATCAATCACCCAGGAACCGTGTCGGCGTTGAAGGACTGCATCAGTTTGTTCGATGACGCGCTGAGTCAACTCAACCAATCGGCGGAGTTGCTGAATGTGGGTACCGGAGAGAGTACATTAACGGTGATGAAGGTGAAGAACATGCAGACATGGGTAAGTGCTGCGATGACTGATCAGGACACGTGTCTAGAAGGACTGGATGAAATGGGATCACCGTTGCTTGGAGAAGTGAAAGCGCGGGTGCAGAAAGCTAAGGAGTACATGAGTAACACCTTAGCAATTCTCAGTAATATGCCTAACCTTCTTAAAAAATTTGGTATCTCTATGCATTGAGTTAACATATCATATGCACAATTTGTACGTTTTTTTTTTTTGGCCTGCAATTTGTATCATTGTACTTCTCTTTGTTTGTGTCTTCAATATTATTGCTGGTGTAAATTTGTGCATACTTCTTTTCCCTAACTTTTAATAATTTAAATTCATCAAATTACTTTGATTGTATATTCAAGTTTTGATGCAAGAATTACTTTTACTATATCTATGACTTATACTTTAAGTTTAATTTATCATTTAAAACTCCATATCCAATCAAATATATCATATAAAATAAGAGAGATGGAGTAAATTCACCTCAAAATTGCTTTAAATTTATATATAGAGATTGTGAAGATGTAGGGGTAGTTTGGCCATGTAAGACGAAATTGATTGATATAAAATCATATGAGATAAATTGAAATTTTGTTTAGACATGCAAATTGAATTTTTAAATTGTATTGTCACTAACATAAAAAAAAACTCATAAGTTGTGAAGACTGGCAAATTTGCTCATATTATTTATACAACCTTACCAAACAAGCAAAAGTTCATAGCAAAAGTATAATACACTGTCATAAAGATTTTCTAAAAAAAGTACACCATTTATTTAGTTCAATTAAAAAAAAGTAAAATTGAGCATGAACTGTAGGTACTATATTTATTGAGTTGTTTGTTGGTGAATATCATTAGTTACTATATCATCATATTCATATGCCGTGAATATTTTGACAATTAGCAAGAAATTATATAGATATAAAATGATGGATTTTTTTTTTACGGAATATAAACATATAGATCATTTTTTGTATTTGAAAAATGTGAAATTATGATATGAAATTCTCAAATCAAGCTTTTTGAAGAATTTGAAAATTCATCAGATAAGATAAAATGACATGTCTTAACACTAATTTTATCTCGTTACTTCAAATCACTAAATAAAATTACATGTACAAACACCTACCATGTCAATTATACATAATCAGTGTTTTAAAAGGCCGGGGCGTGAGGTGGGGCGTTTTACTTAGCATAGGGCGAGGCGTAAGTCCTATAGATCTTTACATTTTAATTTACAATATATAGTATAATAATATAATAACACAAAATTATAAAAATATATCAATATAATTACAAACATGATCAAGGAAACTCATAGAAAATAAAACTTCTAACATGATTATACAAGTATAAATAATCTAATACCTTACCTTTCTAATAATAAAAGAATCATTATTTCTAAAGATATATTGTTATCATACTATACCATTTATCCCCCTAAAAGAAATTAACGGGAAAAGAGTATGAAAAATACTTTAACTTTGGCCGAAATTGTTGTTACGATACCAAACTTTATGGATGACCTTTTACCCCATGCACTATTTAATAGTGTAGTTAAAAGGTATATATGTGTCCACATGGACACATTACTATTTATAATGATGCAATACTTATGATGTCCACGTGGGCACATATATACCTTTTAACTACACTATTAAATAGTGCAGAGGGTAAAAGGTCTTTTCCAAAGTTCGGTATTGTTACAACAATTTCGGTCAAAATTCGATATATTTCAGACCTTTTTCCCAAAATTAATCAATAAAACTTACTAGTATTATAATAGAAACATCACTCCATCATGAATAAAAATAAATTTTAAATAAAATATGATAATTTTGGGGAGTATAACAAAAACATGACGACCAATGATAAGTGAAAAAAATAAAATTTCGCTATGTATTTTTAAAAGAAATGTTACACAATATATAATCACCCTCACAGTGTTACCAAATAGTAAATATGCGATACTACAACTTGTTATTTGAGTTACTCTCAATTTTCTTATTTCTATAGATTAAAAAACTATAAATTATCATTCATTTATTCAAGAATTATGAAGGTTAACAATGTTAACTAAAGAATTTAACACATAATTTGTATAAGATTTGTTAGGCGAGCCCCAAGCGTTAGGCGTTGGGCATGCTTAGGGTGTACAATCGGACGCTTAGGGCGTAAGTCTTACAGAACTAATCCCCCGCACTTGAGTCTCGGGGCGTTTTGCTAGAGCCCTACCCCAGAGTGAGGCCCAACAGTGTCTTTTAAAACACTACATGTAATTATAACTATTTACAGTACAGAGTGTTCCAAGTATAGTGTTTTGGTTTCTCAATCAGTTTCTTGTACCCACTTTAATCCTATTCATTTGGATTCGTGTTGATAAGTCTCCATTTAAAACTACAATTGTTCTCAATTAGGTGTGAGATACAACACTCTATTTGGTCAATTTCTAAGGGAAACTTCAAATTAAACCAAACAATGGTGTTTAAACTAAACTAGTGCAATTTATCATAGTTAAGCATAAACTAAATTGAAAATATATAAACTAGTATGAAGTATCTCACCTCTAGATGAGCCCCAGTATCAAAACAGAAAAAGCAGAAGATACATGTTTTTCATTGTCCTTGTGCTACTAATTAATTAGTTACTAGACAGAAAGGACATGTTTTGGATCATGTGAACTTTGGCCAAATTCTGGTTGAGCCTATGTTCAAGCCAAATCCACCCCCTTTTTACAAGTACATATTGGATCAAAGTATTTTCGTTGGTCGGTTCTTTCATCATGTGACGATAGGCCCAACAGTATTTGCAATAATTAGTAGGAAAACCCTATTATTTGTTGATCCACCACTAAAATCACCAACAATGCTTCCCAATTTACCTCCCCACTTATCACTTATCATACTGGATTCCCGGGGTACAAAAGATTTCTAATGCCAATCTTTACTTTTCTATCAAAGTTGCAACGAAACATCGTCACAAAAAATCATATTTCTTGTAGTGAAAAGAACAAGTATAGAATTAATTATTCTGGAATAAGTGATTTCCAACCAAACAAAATACAAGGGTTGTGGTGTAGTGGTACTAGAGTACTTCACCCTTAGCAAGAGGTTTCGTTTTTTATTCCTAAGTATGGAGAAAATCATGTCGAGAACCTCACCCCCCCAAATGGACCCTGTAGTGCACAATTCGAATTTAGTCGGAGCTCCAATGCAGACTCTGGACACGGGAGTCCGGATGAAAAATAAGAAAAAAAATTGTATTCTAAATAGATCAAGATTTTTAGGTTTTACATAGGCATAGCTGTTATATATGGAAGCATAAGTGAATACACAGTAATTAATTAATATATATACATATTTTTATCTCTACTCTCTAATGTTCTTGAATATTTTCATCACTGCTCATAAAATATTAATTGTAGAATTTATTTTGTATGTTAGATACACTTTAATTAATACTCTTTGTTATTGGTGACGATTGTTATTCAATTTCTAATTATGTAGATAAATATCATGTTCAATCATTAGATCATCAAACACTTTTACATATAATAATCACATTTCAGTTGGACCAACCAAATACACTAATTAAACAGGATTTAAATAATGTACTATATATTATCTATATATAACATTACAAGAGTACATTATTAAGATATACTATATATATATATATAGTAGTAAAATTGAGACATTATATAAAAACTCTAGGTAGCCATTATATATTATATATTATATTATATACTTATAGAAACACTTAACAACCACTAAGAGATGCTTAGATCCGTGGGCTTTACTGCTGAAGAAGACTTAATAAAGTGTGTATAAGATCAACAGTATTGGTATCCACAGAAGGCAGTACTTGAGATAACTTCTCACTTAGATCATCCACTTCATTGTGTAGTTTTCTGATGTAATTACATGCATCTTCTAGTATCTTTGATGATGATGTTGCCTGTACGTGATCAGACGTTAATTAGTCGGGATGTATGCAAGGTGGTCCGAACAGTTGGACACTAAAAAGTGTACTACTACAAAATGATTAAATTGTGACATTATTTGGTTGTAACATGTTGCTAAAGCCAAATCTCTCTAGTCAAAAAGTACTTTTGTGGAACGTACACTATGCCTAGACATGCGAGGAAGATTGTCTAAGGTCATATATATTAGCTGACAAACAACATGTTCTCTCCATTTAAGACAATCTAACTAAAATGGACTTTTAGACCTAACTAGAAATTAAAAAATTAATTCATTCGATGAGAATTACCTAAAACCATTATTATGAGATAACATTAATCATCAATTTCCTTAACGAACGTAGGGACAATTCAACAGTCTTCCGGAGTATTTCGTAACACATTAATTCTGTATCATAACTCTGTTCGTTTAAAGTGAGCTTAATTAATTAATAATCATAACTTCGTCAATTTATCTCTTTTTTTGTTTACCAGGGTGTGATATGAGTTAAATCGATACTTATTTTGAGATGGAAGGAGTCAATTTAAGGTATACAGTTTACTAAGTTACTCCTATTTAGTAGACGTTTCTTGAGAATTGAGCACTATTAAAAAGAAATACTATAAAGGTATAGTTAGAAATAATCACTACTACTCCCTATGTCCAACAATACTTATTCATTATTGACTTTGCACACTTCTTAAGAAATTATAAATAGAAGAGTAATTTTACTGTATCATCATTTAAATATAATAAAGTCAATGTCTTGCAAAATCTAATAGGAAAATTACTATAATTAATGATAAGGGTAAATTAGGAAGTAAGTGTAAAGTACTCATTGATTTTATAAAGTGGACAAGTATTATTGGACATTCCAAAATAGTATAGTGGACAACTATTGTTGGACGGATGGAGTATTATTTTTGTCTTGAATTTCAAAACGACATTTATTTTGGATTAACTTTTTTTTTTATTTGCTAGAGTGACACTTACATATAGGACGGAGGGAGTAATAATCACCACTTCAACCAATGGCTTACTTCACAGAATTAATGTTGTTACTTCGTAGGTTTTTATTTCTGCTTGCTTTAATATATTGTGCATTAATTCAAGTAAGAAAATAAAGTAATGCTCATCAATCCTAGCAGCACAATGTCAGTGACTAATTCAGAATTTTCACTAAAAAGATTCAAATATGAAAAAATAAACACATGAAGAAGTTGAAAGGGGTTCAGGCCCTACCTAGCTCCGCCATATGACTATCATTATAAAATATAAATAATGGACGTACCGTGGAGATGCACCTTGAAGAGGAATTTGGCAAGAGAGATTGTAATTTCAAGACAAGATCATTAATCTCATCTTGAGTGAATCTTGAATTATTAGTTGATC